AATCAATCTGGTACTGGCTAGAAAACAGACCTGTGAATCAGTGGAACAGACTGGAAGAAACAGCCACAACCAAAAACACACTCAGCAACCTCATCTTTGATAAAGGGACCAAACAAACTTACTGGAAGAATGATAGCCTCTTTACTAAATGGTGCTGGAAAAATTGGCTTGCCACCTGCCAAAGACTGAAAATAGACCCAAGCCTATCACCAAGCACCCAACTCAAGTCACAGTGGCTCACAGATCTCAATATTAAACCAGAAACACTAAATCTATTGGAAGAGAAAGTACGTAAAAACCTTGGAGACATAGGGGTAGGCAGAGAGTTCATGAACCAAAACCAAACTGCACGTGAAATACTTCAAAGAATCAACAACTGGGATCTCATCCTACTGAAAAGTTTCTGCACAGCTAAAGAAATCACAGCACAGTAAAAAGAAAAACCACAAACCTGGAAAAAATTTTAGCTGAGTGTCCCTGAGACAAAAGATTCCTATCTAGAACATATGAAGGATTACAGAACATCAGCACCCCCAAATTGAAAGACCCAGTCCAAAAATGGGCAGCTGAGATGAATACACACTTCTCAGATAAAGAAATACAAATGGCAAATAAATACATGAACAAAGTCTTCTTTAGGTCTGATGTTTAAATAAAGTACAGAAGAGGAAGAAAATCTCACAGGTCAGCCTAGTGATTTCCCGGAGGAGAGGGACTGATAAGGGACATGAGAAGATATCAGTGACCTCAAAAATGACCAGTTTTGTCAGCATAAAAATTCATATAAATAGTATGCAGACTTTTTTAGCTTTCATGGTTGCTTTAGTTACTCTTTTCATTTCTGAGACATACTTGACACACAAATGTAAAGATAGAAAGGTTATGTAGCTCACGCTTTATAGTGCTTTGAGGTCATAGTCAGCTAGCTGAAAGGCAGGGTGGTATGACAGAGTGTCATCACGCAGAGGAAACTGTTCATGGTGGGCAGGACGCAGAAGGGCAGCAAAGCAGCAGGGAAGCAGCAGCAGCAGCAACAAGCAATAGCAGCAGCCCTCTTTCTGTCTCTTATGTTCTATCCAGGCTACACACCTTTAAGGGTGGTAAAACTCACACACAAGGCCAGACTTCCCATTATCCACACCCAGAAGTATGACAAGCCATTCAGTGGACTAAACTAGGAATTATAAACCCTTGATCTTATCATCACACACTTAATCCCAGCATCACACACTCTAGATCCAGGCATCTCTGAAAAGCCCCACCTATGGCCACATGAAGATTTGGGCAAACATCTAGACACAAGCCATAACAACAGTGATATCTACTAAAGAGTTCTGCTTGTATCTTTAAGTATTTTGTTTGTCTTTTGTTGCTTTTGAGACGAAGTCCACCTACCTTTCCCAGGCTGGTCTTGAAATTTTCATCCTCCTGCCTCAGCCTCCTGCATAACTGACATTAAAACCAAACATCTCTCATACTGCCTGACTTTTTAAAAGGCATTTTCAATCCATGCAATTTTTTTCCAATACTATGGATCAAACCCAAGAACTGGACCCTGCTTTGCAAGTTGTCTTTAGATGAGCTACAAGCATTACCCCTTTGTGAGAATTATTTACACTGAAAGAAGGTAAATAGATGAATGCAAACGATTTTACAAGTTGCAAATATTACCTCAATATACCTTTTTATATACTAAAGGTAATATACCAAATTACCTTCCCACTATAAGTAGTGTTTAAAAATGGCCTGTAATTTTTGTGTTAGGGGCTTGTAGACAATGAATGTGTAACTTTCCATAAAAAAATGAGACGAAAAACTATGTGAAAATTGCTATAAAAATGTCAACATAGAAGAAGAAAATAGAGCAAGTATTATGAAGTGTACTTTATTTTTGACAAACCTAGTCCCAAATTATCTAATATTACATTCAACCAAATAACCAATTTTTCTTATTGAAGACCAATATTTGAAAATATTTGATGAGAGCCTTCAAAGACATATTAAACAATTTATTGATATTAAAGTGATGAAAATAAATATTAAATTGACATGGCATTCTTTCATTCTTGTATTCCTGTTATGTTTTACATTCTTAACATTCAATTTACTACTATTACTCCCTGATGGTAATAAGTCTCAGCTGACTGTTGTACACTTACACATACAAGCAGTAGTTTTTATACAAATGTGTGTCTGCTGAC